ATCAGATTCTGACCTCGATATCAAAAAGTCAACCCCCCGATCAAACTTCCCAAAAATTCAACTTTCGGTATTTCAAGCCTAATTCTACTACGAACCTCCAAATAATTTTCCGGATACGCTCCTAAGTCCAAAACCACCATACGGAGCTATTGGAATCATCAAAACTCTATTCCGGAGTCATTTACATATAAGTCACCATCCGATCAACTATTTCAACTTAACCTTCCAACATAAAATTTTATTCTTCCAAGCTAACCCCGAAATACCTTAAAACCTAAACCGACAATTCACACAAGTCATAATACCTCATATGAAGTTATTCAAGACTTCAAATAGTTGAAAGGAGCGTAAATACTCAAAACGATCGGTCGGGTCGTTACACTTATTGGACGGCTGAGGCTTGTTCAAGATAAGATAAGTCTCTCGTCTAAACTTATTAAAAAGAAATTTTCTTTATATTTGAGTTATGTGCTACATTTTACATGATTTGGGAAGGGAATATATATGAGGTGATGAGAGTATATCTGTGCACTAAGGTTATACCATGTTTAGGGTAGTTTTAGGCTTCTTTATATTTTATTTGGTTGTGTGATTTTCTTGGATTATGCTTTACTTGATTGTATGATTACGTGGAGACAATTATCATGCTAGAGATCATGTTTTAAACTTTGATATCCTATATAAGCATAATGGACTATTCTTGAGATGTTGATATATTTGATTTAGTCGTAGTCATACTTTATATCATGAATATATATATCTGCATCTTTATTTATTATATCCTTGTATATTTTATTGATTATTTCTTGAGTATATGCTTACATACTTAGAGATAGTGATCTTGATAAGGATTAATATGATTATGACACAATTGGACATTATGAGCGGATTGATAATTATTATAGAATGAGATCTATGTTGTGCTGTTATTGTGATATTAATATTGTTATGGTACAAGGTTTTTGTCGTGTTACACTTGAATATGAATTCGTCCCTCTAGATTTAGGTGATTACCCATGTTAAATTGAGCCGTACGAGCGCAGATGATATGCGTATCGTGTTAGAGCATGTGGATGTGCTGAATCATATTGAAGCACATGGGATGTGCTGGATATTGATTACAATTGAGTCTTGAGCAAACATGATTATCCTAGACTCATGTAAGAGCATTTATATAGGTGCTTCTTGGTGCATTTCATTTCTATTTGCAAGACATCGAATTTGAATTATGTTTTTGGTTTACCTTATTTTGAGAAGCATGCTTGTCTTATCTATAATTTGTATACCTTCTTGCTATATCTATTATTCTGGTTAATTTCTATGAATTCATGTTATTATTAATTTGTCAGGTTGTGAAGGTGAGCATCATGATTTTGTCAAAGTCTTGTCACTACTTTTTTGAGATTAGACTCGATACTTAATGAGTACGCGTTGTTTATATATTTATATTACACTTCTGTATATTTTATGCAGATTCTGATATTAGCACTAATGGATCCCAAGAGGGTTCCCAATAGCACTAATGGATCCCAAGAGCGTTCCCAATGGATTCACCTTCTTCTTGTTATTATAATGATTATCTATTCAGACAGTACTCTTGTATTTTATGAGACAATTATGTATCATCTTAGTAGCTCATGACTCCATACTACCACATTCGTTGGGATATTATTGTAGCACATCTGCATTTGATTGATAATTTTGATACTTATTTATGATTTATCTATGTTATGAGCATATTTTCTTGTGTTTATCTTATTTTGATTGAAGTTTGAGTATTGACTTACTCATCGGGTTGGGTTAGGTGTCATCATGATCATGATAGGATTTTGCGTCATGACACATTCCAAACCTCTAAACATATGCCTTATAAGATATCGGGCCAGTGTTTCCGTGGATTAATTATGGAGCTACATACCCAATTGTTCCCCTTGCTGATGTTAGAGTGACAATGCTATCATCTGTTGGGTGCAATTTGGCAAGACCAAAATTAGAAACTTCTAGAATGAAATTCTCATGCAAAGTATATTGTGTGGCTTGATATCAAGATGTAGTATTTTTATGTTACAACCTCGATGAAAATATTTAATGCCTCGAACAACTCCAAGAGCGATTTGTATTTTCTTTGCTAGCTTAGTAGAGTTCCTCCTTCTCGGGGTATGATGTACTTTTCAAGTGATCCATTAGGCATGAAGTCACATACGAGGGCATGTTTAGATCTCTCAGTACAATAGCCTATAAGTTGTACTATGTTAACATGATGAATCTTCCCAATTGGGGCAACCTCGTTGCTGAATTCTTGTCCATCGGCTTTAGGCTTGCTCAAGATCTTGGAGTCAAGGGATTGGTGAAGTACTTGGTTCTTGAGTTGGCATAGAAAAGCATGTCATAGAAAGAACTGTCTTGGAGTCAGTCTTCGAGGCTAGGATGGTAAAAGCGATTACGTGAATAATTAAATAGTCTTGGCATGTTAAAACCTGAGGGGAGGCATCAATAATGTGTATGTTGAGTTCTAAGTGTCGATATAAGCTGTTTTCATTAGTTGTAATTCTTGAGCATATTTTAAAAAGTAGCTTCTTTCCATTGTGCTAAATTTTGAAGACTCTAAAGGGAGAGAAATAATTGAAGTGTGAGGTAGTAATATGATAATATGCTAGAATTACATGTAATTGGATATGTTTTACCCCTACTTTGGTGTGTTTTTAGGTGTTTTGAATGTTGGAAGATGACCAATCGAGCTTAATTGTTGAAGTTTGTTATGTAGGAAGCCAAGAGTGAGGAATATAGGTGATTTGAGAAAAAAGGAAGCTAAAAGGCAATTTTTGAATAAAAGCAAAATCGGACCAGGCAGTGAAATAACTTCGAAAAGCACAAGGAAAGTACAAAAAAATCTAGAAAATACAACCATGCCCTGTGCGAAGCACAACTACAGCACAAGGGCAAATTTGCCTACGTTTTATCATGAAGGGCAACTTAGTAAATTGGCTTAGGGACGTGATATAAATATTTTCAACCCTAATTGCAGCCACAGACTTGACCTAAGAAGGCAAGAAACACCATTGTTGAAGCAACATTGAGCCCGAAAGATCCTCAAGTTCATTCAAGAAGACGAATCGTAGAGTTTCTCTCTATTTTTCTATCTTTATTTCTATGAATATTGGTTAGACAATGGTTTATGTATTTTTGAGTAGTGTTATGAGTAGCTAAATTCTTTAATCTAAGGTTTTATGGAACCTATTGGAAGATAATTTTTTATTGCGTTTAATATAGATTTGCCTTTAAATTTTCTCTACTTGTTCAACTATATTTTCATTGTTGTTAATTGAAGAGTTCTCAATTAACTCTGCCTATTTAGTGTGTATATTGCTCGAGAGAGAGTACACATTTAGGTAGTTGTTGAAAAACACCAGTCCTAACGTAGTTGAGAGATCGATGTGAAGGGTTTAAAGGCGGGATTAGAGATAACGAAGCCTTGGTGCGATCGTAGTGACCGGTAAATTAGTGCCAGCTAGCGTAGTTCGAGAGAATACATCTATTAAATTATAGTAGTTTCTCGATAGAGAGCTACGACAATCAAAGTACTCATGATTGGTAGAGAATAGTTAGGTAAATTCATAGAAAACATAGTGGAAAGGATTCCGACAATAGGGAAAATCATAACTTTAGACTCTTCCAAATCTTGTCTACAATATTTGCTTTGCTCATTATAAATTATTGCATTTTTAATTACTTTGACTTTAGTTAGTAAACTCTCAAATGGTTATATAATATTTCTGAAGGTTGATTACTTGAATTCGTGTAAAACTATTGGTTGTAATTAACACGTTATTTCCCTTTGGGATTCGACTCCGGACTTGTAAACCGGATTATATTTGCAACGAGTGCTTAGTCCTCTTAGGAGGCATAGTTGGGCATGATCAAATTTTGGCGTCGTTGGCGGGGAATTCAACAGTGTTACTAATTACAGCTATAAGAATTGTTAGAATTCTTAGTTTAGTCAATTTTCTCCAGTTTTATTCATTACATTGAAATTCTAACGTTTGTCGTCTTGTGGGTTATAGGTGTATGCCTAGAAACTCTTCAAGAACTGGTGAGTTGTTTGAAGCATTACCAGATCCTAAGAAAACTTTCAAGGCATTAAATCATGCAAACAAGAAGGACAAACAACAACATCACCCAAGAGAACAAATTAAATCGGACATGGGTGGCACTTTGGATAATCAAAACAATCGAAACAATGTGAATGACCCGATCAATCAGGGTATGGCACCTCTTGTGCCAGAAGCAGCTTTGTATGATTGGGCACAACCTACCACTGAAAATTTGGCAACTGCAATTGCAGTCCCTCAGATACAAGCGGAGTCATTTCAAATCACAAACAACATGCTACATCTACTGCAGAACAAAGGATTGTTCTCCGGGTCTTACATTGAAGATCCACAGCAGCATCTGAAATTCTGTCGATTTGTGTCACGCAAAGGCAACCAAATGTGACACCGGAAGCAATAAGATTGTTGTTGTTTCCATTCTCAGTGACAGGAGAAGCCCAAACATGGCTTAATTCGCTCCCAATAAATTCAATCACAACTTGGGAGGAATTAGTCAAGCAGTTTTTGAATAAGTTCTACCCACTCAATAAGACTGCCAAGCAGGTTGATAAGATATTGAGCTTCAGACAGAAACCAACTGAAACATTACAAGAAACGTGGGAGAGATTCAAAGGTATGCTGGTTAAGTGTCCACATCATAGCATTCCATATCAGATGTTGGGACTACGGTTTTACATGGGATTGGCGGACAGCTTGAAGGCCACTGTTGATGCTTCAGCAAGTGGAGCATTTTTAAGCAAGTCATTTGGAGAGTGTAAGGTCCTGCTAGATAAAATGGCTCAAAACTCAAGATGGATGATAAGAGACTCCACAATCACCCCTATGGTTCACTCAATAGCATTGGACCTGAACAATTTCATAGCCGAAAATATGGCCACTCTGATGACGTAAATGAGTATCCTCACCAAGAAGATTGATGAATCAGGCCAGAAGAAGGTACACATAATTGACACGACTAATGGGGGATTATGTACACCATGCATTAACCAACCATACGTGTGTTCGTGGAGTGGTGAAAGTGAAAACCAGAACTATCAAGAGAACATGAACTATGTGAGCAACTATGGAGGTCAGAGACAAGGTGGTCAGAATTGAAGGCAGCAAAATCAGCAGTATAGACCAGCACAACAACAGTACAATAACACCAACAATCCTGGAGCTATGCGACCACAGGGTCAAGTAGTACCTTACAAAAGGCAAAAAAGATATAACCAGCAAAATCAGCAGCTAACTTATCAACAACAATAAATAGTGAGGCAGGATGATGAGTTATCTGAAATTAAAGGAATGTTGCAACAACTCATTGGGGCCAGCGGGAAAATGGAAGTAAAGGTCCACCAAATGCAAGAAAAGGTAGTGTCACATGACTCGGCTATCAGGGGCATTGAGATTCAACTAGGGCAATTATCCATGGCCCTTAACAATCGTCCTCAAGGGACGTTACCTGCGGACACACATGTCAATACAAAAGAGCAGGGACTGAAGCCTCTTATGGAGGTGAGCTTGAGAAATGGTAGAGATCTTGATTTAGAGTAAGAAATTTCTCGTGAGAGCCGGTTAACTGAAATACTTGTGTCAGTGCCAATTGAGTTAGTTGAGTCAACTGGGCTAACAGAAGTAAGAATGCAACCAGCCCAAGAGGAAATAAACTAGGAAAAAGAGGTTGCGGAGGTGACTGAGAAAGTGCAAGAGAAGGTTTTAGAAAATATTCCTGAGCAGGATCTAACTCAAGCTACAGGAAAGAAGCGACCTCCAGCACCCTTCCCGCAGAGGTTGGCCAAATATCAGAAGGATGAGCAGTATAAAAAATTCATGGAAATGCTGAAGCAAATTCAGGTAAACATTTCTCTAATCGATGCTTTGAGGGAGATGCCCGGTTATGCAAAAATGATGAAAGACTTGATGTCTCGTAAGTTCAACTTCCAAGACTTGACAATTGTCACATTGACACAGACTTGTAGTGTTGTTGTGTCAAGACCTATAGCTGAGAAGTTATCCGACCCTGTAAGCTTGACAATTCCATGCACCATAGGTAGCTATACATTTGCAAAAGCCTTGTGTGATTTGGAAGCAAGTATAAATCTGATGCCATTGTCTATCTATAAAAAGTTAGGCATTGGAAGTGCAAGGCCCACATCCATGTTACTGGAACTAGCTGAGCGAACGGTGAAAAGGCCATTGGGTATACTTGACGATGTACTTGTGCAAGTTAGAAAATTCGTGTTTCCAGCAGATTTTGTCATTCTGGACGGTAAGGTTGATAAAGAGATTCCCATAATTTTGGGAAGGTCGTTCTTGGCCACAGGGAAAGCTCTGATTGATTGTGAAATGGGAGAGCTGAAGATGAGGCTGAATAATGAAGAAATAACATTTAATGTGCAAAAGTCTATGCGGAGACCCAGTGAGTTTGCAAATTGCTCTTTGTTAGACACGGTGGATGTAATCATAGAGGAAGATGATGAGGCACTTAATGCAAAAGACCCTCTAACAGTATGCCTTATGAACTTAGAAGAAGTAAATGGTGAGGACTTGGTGGAATGGGTGTTGGATCTTCAAGGGCAAGGTTACTGGAAAAGAGAGCTCGAATTTGAGCCTTTACACTCTGAAGAAAGAAAGAACCCTCCAGCCAAGCCATCGATCGAAGCACCACCATAATTGGAGCTAAAACCGCTACTATCTTACCTCAGGTATGCTTTCTTGGGACCTAATTCGACTTTACCTGTTATTATCTCATCTGGTTTGCAAGATGTGCAGGTAGAACAACTTTTACAGGTGTTGAAAGATTACAAGAATGCAATTGGTTGGACCATTGCAGACATTAAGGGTATCAGCGCGGCCTTCTGTATGCATAAAATTCTATTGGAAGATGGGCACAAACCTTCCAGAGAACATCAAAAAAGGCTAAACCCTAACATGAAGTAAGTAGTAAAGAAGGAAGTGATTAAGTGGTTAGATGCGAGAATTATTTTTCCCATCTCAGATAACAACTGGGTTAGCCCAGTTCAGTGTGTGCCAAAGAAAGGTGGGATGACTGTTGTGCAAATGAGAAGAATGAATTAATCTCCACAATAATAGTCATGGGATGTCGAATTTGCATGGACTACAGAATATTGAACAAGGCCACCCAAAAAGATCATTTCCCCTTGCCGTTCATTGATCAGATACTAGATAGATTGGCAGGGAGGTCTCATTTTTGCTTCTTGGATGGATACTCGGGCTACAATCAAATATTAATTGCCCTAGAGGATAGAGAGAAAACATCATTCACCTGTCCATATGGCATTTACGCTTTTCGAAGATTGTCGTTTGGCCTATGCAATGCACCTGCCACATTCCAAAGATGCATGATGGCCATCTTGATAGATATGGTAGAGGACATAATGGAGGTTTTCATGGATGATTTCTCAGTGGTGGGAAATTCTTTTGATGATTGCCTTAGAAATCTGAAAAGAGTACTGCAGAGATGTAAGGATACTAATCTGGTGCTAAACTGGGAAAATGCCATTTTATGGTACACGAAGGTATAGTCTTGGGACACCTAGTGTAAAGTAAGGGCTTTGAGATGGACCGTGCCAAGATTGATGTAATAGAGAAGCTGCCACCACCCACTTCCGTCAAGGCAATTAGAAGTTTACTTGGTCACGCCGGTTTTTACAGGCGGTTCATAAAAAATATTTCCAAGATTGCTAACTCTTTGTGTAAATTGCTTGAAAGAAATCACACTTTTGTATTTTCTGATGACTGCAGGGTAGCTTTCCAAGGATTGAAGAAGAGACTAGTGTTTGCACCTATCATAGTTGCACCTGACTGGGAGCAACCATTTAAGCTGATGTATGATGCAAGTGATCATGCCGTGGGAGCAGTACTTGGACAGTGAAAAGATAAAATCATGCATCCAATCTACTATGCAAGTAGAACATTGAATGCCACTCAACTGAATTACACGGTGACAGAAAAAGAGATGCTAGTAGTGGTGTTTGCATTTGACAAATTCCGGTCCTACTTGATAGGCTCGAAGGTAATTGTTTATTCTGACCATGCTTCTCTCAGGTACCTAATTGATAAAAAGGAAGCAAATTCGCACCTGATTCGATGGGTTCTACCACTGCAAGAGTTTGACTTGGAAATTCATGACCGAAAAGGAACGAAAAACCAAGTTGTCGATCACTTGTCTAGGCTTGAAGGAGCTAAAACGAAGGTTGAGGTGGAAGTGATCATGGAGACTTTCCCATACGAACATTTGTTGGCCACGAGCCTTGAGGTAGCACCATGGTATGCAAATATTGCAAACTACCTGGCAAGCGGTATTGTTCCATATGACTTATCTTCTATGCAGAAGAAAAAGTTCTTTCATGATTGTCGCATGTATTTCTAAGATGAAACATATTTGTTCTGGATTTGTATTGATAATATGATCCGGAGATGTATTCCCGAGATAGACCAAGCTTCTATTTTGCAGGCATGTCATGCTTTGCCTTACGGAGGTCATTTTGGAGGAGTAAGGACAACTGCTAAAGTTTTGGAGTCGGGCTTCTATTGGCCGACGTTGTTTAAAGTTGCACACTTTTGGGTAAAGAGCTATGATGAATGTCAAAGGACGGGGAATATTTCCCATCGACATGAGATGCCCATGAACCCAATACAAGAAGTGGAAGTATTTGATATATGGGGAATCAACTTTATGGGACCATTTGTTAGCTCATACAACTACAAGTATATACTCGTAGCAGTGGACTATGTCTCGAAATGGGTAGAAGTTGTAGAACTCCCAACAAATGATGCAAAGGGAGTTATTGGTTTTCTAAGAAAAAATATCTTCACCCGATTTGGAACTCCAAGAGCTATAATCAGTGGTGGTGGAACTCATTTCTGCAATAAAGCTTTTGCAAGGCTACTAGAAAAGTATGGAGTTCTCTATAAAGTTGCCATGCCTTACCACCCGCAAACGAGCGGGCAAGTGGAAGTGTCCAACAGGGAAATCAAAAGTGTCCTGACCAAGATGGTGAATGTGACTCAGACTGATTGGGAAAGGAAGTTGGATGATGCATTATGGGCTTACCGCACAACATTTAAAACTCCAATCGGTATGTCACCATACAAATTGGTGTTCGAAAAAGTGTGTCACTTACCTGTGGAGCTAGGGCATAGAGCTTTTTGGGCATTAAGAAAATTAAATCTTGACATGGAGGCCGCTGGTACGAGTAGAGCCACAGAGCTTCATGAACTTGATGAGTTTCATTACCATGCTTTTGAAAGCACCAGGCTGTACAAGGAGAGGATGAAGATCATGCACGATAAGCACATTTTAGATAGGAACTTCAAATCCGGATATCTGGTGTTGTTATACAACTCGAGATTGAGATTATTTCCGGGTAAGCTGAAATCTCGATGGTCGGGACCATGTAGAGTTGTGTAAGTGTTCCCAAGTGGAGCTATAGAAATTGAGTCCGAAGGTGGAACTAACAGGTTTAAAGTGAATGGGCAAAGGTTGAAACACAACCTTAGAATGATTGAAGAAAAAGGAGAGAAAGATGTGATGTACTTGAAAGACCCCCAATATGTGAGCGAAACGGAGTCCTGAAAGCCTGCGTAGTGCCACGACGTTAAATAAGGCGCTGCGTGGGAGGCAACCCACGACTTTAAGTCATTATTAGTATTTTATTTTTATTTTTATTTTATTTTATTTTTTATTTTTGTAAGGATAAATTAATTTTAGTTGGTTAGTTAGTTTGTTTTGTAGGATTGATACACAGTTGCGAAGTCCGTGGAACAAATAAGGTCACCTAAGAAAGGATTAGCTTGAAAACTTCACGAAATGTTGTAATTGTTAATAATAATAATAATAATAATAATAATAATAATAATAATAATAATAATAATAATAATAATAATAATAATAATAATCTGCGTAACAGTGTGCTAAGAGAGTATAGCATAGGGATATCACAAAAAGACAAAATATTTTTTTTTCTTTACAGTGTGCTAAGAGAGTATAGCACAGGGATAGCACAACAAGGCAAAATATATTTTTTTTCCTTTACAATGTGCTAAGAGAGTATAGCACAGGGATATCACAACAATGCAAAATAGTTTTTTTCCTTTACAGTGTGCTAAGAGAGTATAGCACAGGGATATCACAACAATGCAAAATAGTTTTTTTCCTTTACAGTGTGCTAAGAGAGTATAGCACAGGGATATCACAACAAGTCATAATATTTTTTCTCTTTACAGTGTGCTAAGAGAGTATAGTACATGGATAGCACAACAAGTCAAAATATTTTTTTCCTTAACAGTGTGCTAAGAGAGTATAGTACATGGATAGCACAACAAGTCAAAATATTTTTTTCCTTAACAGTGTGCTAAGAGAGTATAGCACAAGGATAGCACAACAGGTATGTAATTATTATTTTTTCTTTAAGTCTGAATAAAAAATAAAAAATGCAGCCTTCTCTGAAATAATCCCTTCTCCCTAGTTCCACCCCTTAATACGTCAAAAAGAACCCAACCCCTCGATACATACCTCCTATCTCCCCGATACTCTCCCTCATCGCTGCTGCTCCGACCAGTGACCACCACCATCAGGTGACCTGATAACACTATGGCACCCAAACCAAAGGCAAAATCACAACCATCATCCTCTTGGGATGCACCTAAGTCAGGAAAAAATAAGCAGTTGTCTACAGAAAAAGAGGCAGTTGGACAGCGGCAAGCAAAGAGACAGAAGGTGATTGCACCACCACGATTTGTCAATGATGAGGCAACAAAGAATTTTGAAATGGTTAAGAGAAAGAAGTACTCAGTAGAAAGACCTGTAGATGAAGAAAAATTGAAAAAGAGGTACAAGGGGATTTAGGACGACTTAATAGAGAACCGCTAGTGGGGTCCATTGTTCAAGCCAATAGGTGGCGCCAACATCACAATGGTTCAGGAATTATATGTCAATCGGGTAGATTGAGAGAGCGGAGTATCTAAGGTGAGAGGGGTTGGCATTCACATAACTACGGCGGCCTTCAATGAATTTTTAGGACTCTCCAACCCAAATAATGACTTTAGTTGGAAAAAACAGCGTGACTATGCTAGAATCAGAGAAGTTCTATGTGATGGCAACAAGAAGGCTAAGTGGAAGCGAAAGGGTCGGAGTCGACACCATGTGTTGCCGTACAGGTATTTGAACCAGAAGGCTAGAGTTTATCTGAACTTTATCTGTAATAGGATCTTACCATGCAAACATATTAGTATTGTGCGACGCACATGTGTGTTGTTGACTTATTCCCTTATGAAGGGCTTCATGGTCAATGTGGGTGCCCTTATGTGCTTAGAGATGCAGCGGGCATTGAGGTGGTCAAGGTATCGTTTGTTTTATGCAAATACCCTCACAAAATACATGAAGGATAAGTTTACTGTGTCTAACCAAGGAGGCAATGTAATGCAGCCAGCTGAGACTAAATTGGACGATTACTGTACGGTGAGCGGCCCCGAAAAATCTACGAAGTTGAGTACTGACCAAAAATTTGATGTGATCATTGATAACTTCAAACAATTGTGGTGTGTAATTTCCCCTAAAGTTAAGAAGTGAGAGGAAACTAATAGCCACTTCATGATGTCTATACTATTTAGTGTTGAATCGAAGTTTGCTCTAAACATTGATGAAGATA